GTGGTGACCTGCAGTAGACCATGGTATGAATAACAGACAGACAGACAGACTTCTACAGCATTAAGCCACGGATGCTTGGGGCTTGATCAGGTAGGTGGGCTAGGGTCACCTTCTGCAGGTTTCTTAATCTCTCTGTGCCTTGATTTCCTCATCTGCAAAGTGGTGATGATAATACCATCCCTCCCATGAGGATTAAAGTTTTTAAAATAGTATCTGGCATCTAATAAGAGTTTTCCCATCTGAGGGTTCACACCATATAAAATGACCAACGGCATTATACGTTAATTTAGAAAGCTAGGCTATTTGGTTTTTAATCAATTCTTTTTAATTCTTTTGTATAATGTAATTCAAAGTACAAAAATTTAAGATTAGATTTATTCAACTGAACTGAACTGAACTGATGTTATCCTTACTACTTTTATCTTCATTTTATTCATTTAAGTACCTGTCATATGCTAGGTGCTGTGTTAAATATTGGAAAGAGAATTATGAGCAGAAACAGACATAGCCTATGCCTCCATGGAGTTCAAAGCTTGCCTCAAGAGTTAGGTGTTAACCATATAATACCCAAATAATTATAAAAACTCAAATATGAAAAATGTTACATGGGAAGCACACTGCTAAAAGAGTACAAAGCAAAGAGAAATGGTCTTTGGAAGGAAGGAAGGAGGGTTTTCCTGGAAGGAGGCTTCAGAGCTGAGTTTGAAGGATGAAGAAGAATAAACTTGGGGAAGGAGGAAGGAGTGAGAAAGGAATTCAAGGAGAGGAAACAGCATATGCAAATGTCCTGAGGTCAATTATATCCAAAGAACTGAGAGAAGCTGTATATGTCTGGATTGTAAGAAGTGAGGGGAGGAAGGCAGTCAAGGCAGATAAGGCTGGAGAGGAGTTGGCTGCATGGCCAGGCCATTCAAGGTCTTGTAGGTCATCCTCAATAATTTTCATATTTTTTTTTAACCGGGTTGAGTTACCTTGTTTGGTTAGGCTTTTTTAAAAACCTCATTTTATATGCTTTTAAAGAAAATGGAATGGAGGTAGGCAAGGGTGGAGCCAGGGGACCTATTCTTTCTGGGTTACAGAGGTGAGATTGTGGTGGCAGAGATGACTGGATTAAAGAGACACTTAGGATAAAAACTCATTAGCCTTTGGAGTTATCTTAGATGTGGGAAGTGGAGGTGAGGGAGGTGTCTAGAGTAGATTCCAGACTTTGGTTTCAGCAACTGGACAAATATTATGCCACTTACTGGACAGGTGACAATGGACATGGACCACTTTAGAGGAGAAAATGTCATGTTTGGTTGGAGATGAGTATGCAGTGAGCTAACCTCACATCATCTTTATTCTTTGCTCAAAATATGATTCTCCTATTTTAATTTCTATCTATTCATCTATTTTCTCATTTAAGAAATCATTATAAAGTACTAACTGTGGGACTTAAAAATGGTAATATAGACAGTCTTTAGAGGAGCTTATAGTCTAGGAGAAAGCAATGAAAATGGATACTATTAAGAATTATGAGAGCAAAAATATTATTACCAAGACACAGAACAGTGTACTTCACCAAGAATCAGGGTTGGGGGTTGGAAATTATGGAAGAGTCTCTGGAGGAAACGTCTCTGATGCAATGTGCCAAGAAGGGAGCCTCGGGGAAAGGGTATTCCAGGTGAGGGAAGAGAATGGAATCAAGGAGGGCACAGAGAGATACTGAGGTCAAAGCAGCTCCGTGTGGCCAAAGCATACAACAGGGGAATGGAAGCAGGGGTTGGCTAGTGAGCCAACCTAGGATTCCGGGTTTTATCCTGAGAGCAGAGTATTTTTAAGGCTCTTTTCTACTTTGGTCATTATTTATTAAACATTCCATTGTCTCTTCTCCTACATCATGTACACTCACATACACACACACCCTTACATTTCTATTATCCTTTTTTAAATTCCTGGACTAACATAATATCAAATATTCTGCAAAGAAACCACATGTGATTTTGGACAGCATTTGGAAAACCAGGGATCATGTTATAACTCCCAGAGCTCATTAGCCAGCACTTCTGATCACTTTAAACCCATTAAAATCACTCTTGAACCATCCTTAGGGAAATCTTTTTCTAATTGCACCAAACCACTATTTCCAACCGGACAGCCTGTGTTCTTCAAATCTTACTTATATACATTCATTAAAGGATGTTGTCCATGCGGCATGTTAATTTTCAGAGAGAAAGAAATCCCCACTGCCTATAACATTCAAGACACTTGTTGCCATGGCTGATTCATTTCAATGTATGACAAAAACTACTGTAATGATGTAAAGTAATTAGCCTATTAAAAAAAATAATAATTAAAAAAAAACTATACACTCCAATACAAAATAAAAATTTAACTTTCTAAAAGAAAAAAAAAAAAAGACACTTGTTGAATGCTTCCTCTCCCAACGGCATGAGAGAACTGTCTCAACTATCTTCCCGGTCCCACTGAGGTCTGGTTCTGAGGTTTTCTTTGTTCCAACTGTCCCTCTGCTTTTTCCTCCTTAGTTCTCCTACTTTGGAAGCTGATCTTCCACCGATCACTCTTTTCTTCAAACAATGATGCCAGGTTTTCTCATACCCTATGCCCCAAAACAGAAAACTACTTGTGGTTTTTTCAAATATTCTGTTCTGATTCATGCCTTTGTAGTTTTAAACATATGTTACCCTCTCTTTTTAGGATATGCTTCGCCCTTACCTACGTGGACAAGTGTTATCCTTCAAGGCTCATCTCAAACATTTTCTTCTCGTGACCCACCCTTATCTTTAACCAATCTCCCTCCAAATCTGGAGGATGGAGCAAGCCCTCTTGTAAGTCACCTTCAACATACTTCTACAGTGATTTAAAGTGGTCTGCTCTCAGAGGAATGGATAAAGAAGACGTGGTACATAGTTCCAATGGAATATTACTCAGCCAAAAACAGAACAAAATAATGCCAGTTGCAGCAATGCTGATGAAATTTAAAACTACCATACTAGGTGAGGTAAGTCAGACAGACAAAGACAAATGTCATATAACATCACTCATATATGGAATCTGATTTTTAAAATGATATAAGTAAACTTACTTACAGAACAGAAACAGACACACACATTTTGAAAACAAACTTATGGTCACCAAACGGGAAACATGATGGGGAAGAATAAAGTAGGAGCCTGGGGTTAATACACACGCACTGCTATATATAAAATAGGTGACCAAAAAGAGCCTATTGTATAGCACGGGGAACTCGACTCAATATTCTATAATAACCTATCTGGGAGAAGAATCTGAAAAAGAAGGAATATATGCATATGCATAACTGAACCACTATGTTGTACACCTGAAACTGACGCAACATTGTAAATCAACTACATTCCAGTAAAATTTAAAATTAGGTAAAATGGTCTACTCTATTTACTAGGTGGGGTCAAGGTTCTGTATTATTTACTCTATTTTGTTGATATATGCCCTGTACCCAGACAGTGTCTGGCTAGAAGTAGGCATCAAATTAGTGACTGTTGAATGAAACAATGATTCAGTGAATAAATACCCAAACATGTCAAAAAAAACTTCTCAAATATATGTGAGAGATGGCTGAATACCACCATCCCACAGGCTATTAGCCCTCATTTATTATATAGTTTAAAATATCCATAAAGGTATAATTCTCAGTTCTAGTTCCAAGGGATCCTGATGGGCGACCAGGCACTTCTGATTGATAACTCTGCTGAGAAACTTTGTTCTAAAGCCAGAATATTACACAACATAACCAGCGTGAAGACAAGTAGTGGGAAACCTTCTCTTTCATTTACCTGTGTTCCTCTGAAGTAAAACAACCCCCAGGTGCACACCGTATATTTCACGGATTCTTTCATCTAGCCATGCATCCATCTAAAACTTTTGAGACCCTCCTACAATCCGCTAGGCATCCTCTCAGGCAGGTGAGAAGCAAAGTGAACCTCTGCATGTAAATCAGACTCTACTCCAGAAGGATTTAAAAACAAACACCCGCTTGTGTAAGAAACTTCAAGATGAACAGCACACAGCAAGGGTTTAAATGAAGAGTGGAGAGACATCAACTTTCATCTGTCCTTTTCTCTTAAGAAAACATCCTAGGTCCTGATCTCGGGGTTAACAAGAAATCCTGCTCAGTTCCTATTTCCCACGGAGGATTTAACTAGGATTTCAAGGCTGGGCTGTGAGCTTCATGTCTTCTTCAATAACCCTTTTAAATGTTCACATAGTGGGGCTTGTTTGGCATCAGTCTAACTTGTGGGGATCTAAGGTTTGGCTGAGTTACAGGCTTATGGCACTTTTTCCCTTGCATTACACATTATACATTTTGATGCAGAGCATCTCTTCTTTGATTTTTCTTTTCTCCTTCACCCTCCAGAAATCCAAGACTTTAACTGATTTTCTGTTGCTGAAATGTGCCCCCGCCTTGCACTCTCTGCATCTTGACAATGCTATTTGGTTTATATTTTTCCCAAAGTCAGCAACCTAGTTTTTAAAAAAACTCTGTCACCCCTTTTCTTTCCTTCAGGTAAGTCATTTTTATGGAGGCTGTAGCTATAGCTGAAACAGGAAGTGCCAGGAATTCCTGAAGTCCGGCTGAAAGCGAGGCCAGGTACCTGATTTATCTTCCTTTTAAGAGGCTGTCTTGGCCTGGTTGTTTATAGCCTCTGGCATGGTTTTCTCTGCTACCACCGACCCTGCCCTCTGGCCATGATTTCCTGTCACATCAAAAGCTTCAGAGTCAATTCTTTGTCACTTTTGCAATTCTTCAAAGACTCCATTACTTAGCTAACCCCTTCCTCCCCCAACCACACAAGTACAAAGTGACCAATCACTGCTCAGAGACTCACTGATGAGTCCAGAAGCCGGCTAGGTTATGTCGCTTTTTCTGGGGCAACGTGGTGAGTTGCTGAAGAAGGGGGAGTTGAGAGGTGAACTGAGATTTTTTTTTTTAAATTCAACAACCCCTCGTTTCAACAGGGCAAGGAATAGACAGCTTCCCTGTGGGCTGGCTCGAGGCAGATGAGCCTGCGGAGGGCTCTGAGCACTGGGCTTTTGCGGAGCCACGAGACAAAAGGAGCCTGGGTCTCTGAATCACCATGCACCCCACACACACGAACAAGCATTCTACTGTGCTGAGCTGCTGAGACGTGGAAATTGTCTGTTATAGCAGCCTGCTTACCCTAAAAGGGATATGAACACACAACAGGACTGCTGCGGGAGACGGGCACTAGGCTGTTCCGTCCAAGGACCAAGGAATCAGAGGCGTGCAGGAGCGGGATCTACCGTGGCTGCACGGACTTAGTAGGACAAGGGCTTTCGCAGGAAACACTCACTGATGGATCCTTTGCTGGCTGAAAGGGGCAGTGTAGCAGTCATTCTCCTCCAGGTCTGGCAGTGTCTCCTTGTCCAGCCTCATTGGCTTCTTAGGTAACCATCTCCGAAACCTGCTTATTTGTTTATCGATCCTGCGGCACATGAAAGGCAAGACCAAAGGGTACAGCATGTCAGCATTGCCCCAAAACACAGGAGGGAGGTCTCCACAGAGCCGTAATTATGACCCACACACTCGACATGCTCACTGCACTCAGGAAACCCCCACTCGACACACAGAAGGAAGTGAACCAAGACCCGGTGCTCTGATTGCCCATGACATCACTGCCATGAGTCACATGTCTACCCACACGCCAGTGGATGGCCAAGGAGTCAGAACGCGGTCGGAAGGTTCCGGAAAGGAAGCGGACAGTCCCTGCAGTTAAGTTCTTCCATCCTGCAGATTCTAGAAACTCAGTGTGTGCTTGGAAAAGCTCCCCATCCGCGGTCAGGGAAGAGCTGAAGCTCTAGTTGGCTTCGGGGGCGGGGCAGAGATAGCACATTCCAGCGTGGACTGTGCGCAGAGAGCTCAATGCCACCGTTTGCTCTCTGGCCCTCGTGCCTTCCCCGGACAGCCTCTCAGCAGACGACATGCTTTTGTTTTTGTTTTTTTTTAACTTTCATGTCTCTTCTCAAGCTGACCCCATGGTTCTCACGGTGCTGGGGTGTCAGGACACACATGTGTCACTCTGGCCAGAGTACACAATGATGCCAAGTCAAAAAAACCCAACACTGTCCCCAAAGCAGTTTTCAAGCTATGATCTGCCCCCTTGGCAGCCTCCCCATCCCCTCTGACTTCTGATGAAAACATCTGGCCTCCATGTGACCAGATTCTCACCCACTCACAGCCAACTACTAGAAGAGCAAACACCACAACAGACTTTGAAATGATTATGCCACCTCAGGTACCTACACCACTGAACTTTCTGTTTCCCTAAGAGCACACACCAATAGCATCTCTGTGAGGCAGACTGAAGAGGGACCGTTTCCATTTACACATCATAAAAGAGACCCATAGTGGGGTAATTAATTATCCAGCCCAAGTTACCCAGACAGTGAATAAAGTCAGAACCAAAATGCAGATTCTAGACTTTTGATTTTAAAGATCATGCCCATCACAGTAGTTGATAATGGGAATCTTCACTTAAGGGCTATGGAAGAAACACATTTCTCTGGGGATGAAAAACCTTTAAATGTCTTCTAAGTCTATTAACTGAAAACATATGAAATCTGGGCATCTTTTATTTTTCTCTCCAAATAAAATGATTCACATGGCAATTTCTCCTTTACAGTGACACTCCCAGATAAATGGATTATTTTTTATATAACAAATCAACTCCAAAATGAAAAGTAACAGTAAACTCCTCTTTTACTACCTTTTATCTTCAGCATTGTTCCAGCCTCACCACAACTCCCTTCTCTGCTTGGTGGTGACTGTCCTTTTTCCAGAGCCTCTGAAAGTTCAAACTGGAAAGAATTCTCCAGCTTCTTGCAGACCCTCATCTCCAAGAGGACCTGTCCTCATCACATATATACATACAGAAATAAAGATCCTACCCTGGGTCACATAGCCAGAAAATAATAGATTGGAATGGCCCAAAGACCCAACAAAGCGGGAAAGGTCTACATCTACTTCACCCCTAAGACTCATCTTCTTTCCTCATCATCTTTTTAGTAACAGTGAAAGTGTCAGTCACTCAGTCCTGTCTGACTCAATGTGACCCCGTGGACTGTAGCCCATCAGACTCCTCTGTCCATGGAATTCTCTAAGCAAGAATACTGGAGTGGGTAGCCATTCCCTTCCCCAGGGGATCTTCCTGACCCAAGGAAGCCCCATTATCTTCTTAAAGACACTTAAATATAGTGAGATGTAAGCCTCAGAGAAGTGATATGACACAGTGGTTGAGAACATGAGCTCTGAGCCTGGAGTGCCTAGATTCAAACCTTGGCTCTGTAAATATTAGCAGTGTGACCCTGGGTAAGTTATTTAACTTTGCCATGCCTCAATTTCCTTATCTGTAAAATGGGCATGATAATGATGCGCAACTCATAGGACTGTGATGATTAAATGATCAAAATGTACATAAAACCTCCAGAATGGTGTCAGTGCACAGTAAACATGGCTATTATTACTACGTTTTCTTTTTTCTGCAAAGGCAAGAATTTGAGCAACCAGTCTGCCTCTTAACAGTTTTGTCCTTCAACTTTTCAATTCAAAGTTAATTATGCATCATGAGCATCTATCACTTGCCCAAGTTCAATGATTTAGTCGTTAAATGCAACTTCCTAGGTTAAGCTGGTGGGCTTCCCTGCGGCTCTTGGCTTTATTTCATCTGATTGCCTTGAAAGTTGTTCATGAAAGACGACCCTGGTCCAGAGGTTTTCCATAATAGAGCTTTCACCTCCCACACGTCTCCAGTCTGCAGCACTAATCGGATTACACTTTGCGAAATCCGCATTCTCATGGAATCTGGGCTCTGAGTGCAATGATTGTGAATTTAACCCAGATGAGTACAGTGCTCAGTGTGGAGAAAAACAAAGCTGTAAAAATTCAGGGAACGAAATGGAAGCTCTCTGCAACATGCTTGGGGCACCACTATTTAAGTGAAATGTGGAGATGGAGGGAGAGACGACCAGGCTATGAAAGTGAAAAATGAGGAGGGGGGAGAAGGAGGTGAGGGTGGACTGCTTGGCGTGGTGGAAAGGAGCTGGGATTTGCCCTTGTGATGCCGAAATCCTGGCTCTGCTGCTTATCAGCTGTGTGACCTTCCACAAAATCACTCACCTTTCTGAGCCTTATTTTTCCAGAGTTTTTAAATGGGATCATTACCATCATCATCATCTCACTGACCTCACAGAGTTGCTAGGAGGCTTATAAAAGAGGATGTGCATGAAATGCTTTGGAGAAACTGCCAAGCAGAGAGCAGGGTTATTAATAACTCTTTGAGGACCACAGAGGTTAATGTAAAGTGATGGAAAGGAGAGGTAGTGGGCTTTTGAAACACTATGGCAGAGGAAAGGCATTCAAAAGATAGCTTAAAAATAACCCCTGAGGGTGTGAGGCAGCCTTCATCAGGCAGCCTGAGCAGAAGCAGGAAGGCAAAGCGTGGACTGCTCTGGTCCCATCACACACGCCAGGCCAGGCCGTGTGCTCACGAGAGAACAGAATGCTCAAGAGTGATCAGCAGTCTGTAGCCTCCTCTGCTTGGCAGAATGGCCCCCAGTGATGCCGGCACCCTAATCCTGGAACCTGTGAATATGAGTGCGACACAGCAGAGGGACTTTGCAGATGTAAGCTGGGCCTTAAATTATGGACAGCATACTGGATTACTCAGGTGGACACATCTAACTAAGCCCTTTAAAAGCAGAGAACTTTCTCTGGCTGGAGACAGGAGAGATGAGGCCCAAGGGAGGTCAGAGAGATTCAAAGTGTGAGAAGGACTCAACTGGCCAGAGCTGGCTTTGGAGGTGAAGGGGGCCAGGAGCCAGGGGGGTGCCAGGAAGCCTCCAGAAGCTGAGAAAGACCTTTGGTTAACAGCCAAGAAATGGAGACCCCGGTTCAACAACAGCAGGGAGCTGAGCTGTGCCAGCAACCTGGATGAGCCTGGAAGCCAGTTCTTCCCTGGACCCTCCGAAGAAGAGCTGGCTGGCTGACACGTTGATCTCAGCCTGTGAGACCCCAAGCAGAGAAACCAGATGAAACCTCCCCCCACCCAGACCTGTGACTCACAGAACTGAGATAATAAATCTGTCTGGCGATGTGTCATAAAGCAATGGGAGACTACCACACCTCTCCAAACAGCCTCGATCCCATCTTCCCCAGACCACGGCTCACCAGGTTCCCATGGGCTGAGACTGAGGCTCCACACTCTGTCCCCGGCTCTGGGAACAAGAGTTTGTCCCTCTGTGGCTGCATGACTAACGTGCATTCTTCCACAAACCCACTCCTGTCCCCAAACTGTGCCACTCAGACATCAGTGAGGATCCCCTTCCATCTTGCCAAGGAAAGACACACAGCGCAAAAGCCACCAGGCTGGAAAGCCTGAGAGTCAAGCTAGAGGCCTGGGACAAATCTTTTATCCTCTCAGGGCCTTCGTATCCTCGTCTTTAAAATGATCCCTCAGATGTTCTCTAATATATGTGGCTGGTGACTTCAGAGGTCATATCTTGGCTATACCATTTCAGACAAGCCTTGAGTTAATAAAGAGCTTTCCTTTTCACAAAGCATAATGGATAAATTTTTGTACAGAATGATGACTCTGGAGTCAGCAAGAAATGGATTAACATTCTCACTGCTCAGCTCAAAAGTGATGAGCGCCGTGCTGGGCAAGGGGCTAAGCCTCTCTGAGCTAACACACCCATTACAGAGGGAATTGGTAAGGACAATGGGTAAGCGTTTACACAATGCCTTGGCTGGACAAAATGCTCAATTAAGCGGTGGTTTCTAGGATGAAGAAAATGATGATGACAATGAACTTTTGTTGACCAAGTTCTCAAAAGACATTCAAGAGCCATGATCTTCCCTTGTCTATTGAGGTCTGTGCTCCCATGTCTCACAAACATCCCTGAATAAGCGATCTTGAAATTTACTTACAGCTGAAAAGTCAAGAAACCAACTAACCAGAAAGCATCTCATTTGTCTCTTCAATAGAGGAGTAGGGCTTACTTATAAAGTCTCCTCTGACAGGATAAAGAGAAAATGCTGGTTTAACGATGGAGCATTGACTTTGGTTGGATACACTGTCACTTTGGTTCATCTCTGCCATTTACTGAGCAAAAGCCCTCTTGCAGACTACACAGGCGAGTCAATAAAGACGGACCATCTGCCTGAGTATTTGTGGCCTTGACTTGTCAAGTTAGCATCTAGACCAAAAGGTGAGTCACTCTCTTAAGCAAGTTGTTCTGATGGTAGATCTGGGGTCCTCCCCCAAGGACCAGGTCATGACAGGTGAGGTTCTGGGTAGCTGGAAAGAGCTGGCAGGGGAGCCCAAGCACAAACTAGGAGGCAGACATGCTCCAGAGCCCACGGGCTGCAACTACTGCGCCCGCACACACGACTACTGAAGCCTGGGCGCCGGGAGCCCATGCTCCACAACGAGAGAGGCCACCGCCGTGAGCACGCTGCTCACGGCAACTGGAGAAAACCCATCGCAGCAATGAAGATCCAGTGCAGCCACACGTTAATCAACTAAAAACAAACTAGTGGGCACACACCTCCCACCTTTGCTGGGCTGTGCCGTGGGAAGGTCCTGGTTAAAATACCTTGACCTCAGTTTCATCATTGGTGAAGGGGAGACTGTGGTGATTACAGAAAAGGCCACATGCAGAGAACTTCACCCCTAACCGATAAACCTGTCTGCAGGCCTTTATAAATTACTGGATGTACACAGAGTCTCAACCTGGATATGGAGGGTGCACCCTGAAGAATCAGAAAACAAGGGGCTTTTTCTCGAGCCACTAACAACCCAGGAGGGAGTTTGTACTAAAGACAACTCAATTAGGCTGAATTAAATGAAACAGGTGACTTCAGAGACACCTGCTTTTCCCCAGATCAGAATACTATAATAATAGCATCAGGTTTCGAACAGTTTGATTACATTTTCAGAGATAATATGCCCGGAGAGCACAACAGATGAGCTTTTTAAAAATGTACTGGAGGCACCGTTCACAGGCCTACATTGCAGAAAATGAAGCCCTCCTGGATGGATAACAGACAATAGAGGCTTGCCTTTCTTTTTCCTCTTCTTAGAGCCAAGTGCCCCATATTAGCAGTCTCTCCTCAGATAGGAGTTAGGGATCTCAAGAAACTAATGCCATTCTTTCAGGTCACAAGGCTGCTAATTGGGGCAGAGCTGAAGTATCTTCTAGAAGAGTCCAAAGGTTTTGCAACATTTTAGAATATTAATTTTTTAAGATGAGGATGGAAATATCCAAGCCATTCTGTCATGTTGCCTGTATACTCATCTGATAAGACTGTGAAGGCAGTGAATGTATAACACAGCAGGGATACGTGTTCACTCTGCTGAGCATCGCAAAGGAGAACGTCAGTCAGGATGTGTATGGGGGCGTGGTAGAAAAAGAATGAGTAGTGATGAGACTTCAGCTACCAGTCACCCACAGTCATCAGATTTATTACTTCATAAGTGTATCTTTTACAGGCTATATTCATACTATTTGGTGAAAGTAAAAATAAAATAAGGCAGAAGAACAGTGATAAATTTCCTTTCTTGACTAGATAGGTAATGCGCAATATCCCTAAGTCTGCTCAAAGGTAAGTGTCAAAGCATCCTTTAATAGACCAAGTATGTGCATAAAAAGAGCACTTACTCCAAAAATACATATCTGGATTATATGCATGTGCTTCATGGTGTCAGGTGACATTTCACAAAGATATTTGTGAAATGATGCTTTATTTTTCTGCCTGCTCAGAAACCTCACAATTTTTAATTCTTGTCCCTTATTCTGCAAGGAGGTAGGTTTGTTTCCAGGGTACTCTTGTGGATTAATGAAGTAAAATATCATTTGGAAGAATGAAACTAAAAGCTAAATTAAGTATCCATATTTAGGATAGCATGAGGATCTCAGAATATTGAAGTCAATATCTTACTACTGGTGTATGACTAGGATAACAAGTTACAGACATGCCCTGCAATTTGGAATGTCATCTCTGGCTAGAGATACCTATTCTTCATCATTTAAATCAGCCAGTCCTGAGGTGAAGAGTTAAAGTAGATACAAAATTTTCTGACAAACTGCTTTAAAAAATTTGCACAGTCTTCAATAAGTAATACCACCACGCTGATATCCTAAATTTAATCCTGTGTGGTCAGCAGTAAAGCTTATCTCAAGAGGTCATTCTGAATCAAGGTATCATACAACCAGAATTGGGATTTTTTTCCCTTTATTTTGACCCAGAGCCTGCGGGTGCCTTTGAAGGACTCAATTCTTCTACGGTTATCAAGTATGCATTTAAGTAGCATCAACTCTTCCAGGCCAAAAATCAGCTTTTAGTAAGCTGTTCTTCCCGTTCAAGAAACAAGGATTTCCCAAGCTCTTATTCACTCACAACCTCCCTTCTGCACACAGAGAGCACATGATGGGCGACATGGTCACAGTCCCCTCTGCTTTCCTCCTCTTGCTCCTGTTTTGAGCCCCATCCGCCTTCTCCTTTCTCACCGCAAGCCTTAACAAGGTGGCAGTAAGCCCTCACTTCCCGATTCATCAGGGCCCCCTCCGTTCCCCACCAGCTCTACTTTGCTTTCTGTTACTCTCCTCTCTGCAGTCATCATTCGCAAAATCTACTAGTTCCAAACCAGCAACATCAGCATCACTGGGGATCTTAAAAGAAGTGCAAATTATTGAACCTCATGTCTGGGGATGGACCATCAATCTGAGTATGAAAGAGCCCTGCAAGTGGTCCTGATACATGTGAAAGTTTGAGAACCACCATTCCGTGGAGACTGCTAGCACGGTGGTTACCAAGGTGACCAAAAATCAACTCTCATCTCTCATCGTTCATCACTGAAGAAAACCCCTTCTTATGGGAAATCGTATGCAGTACCTTTGATACTGCCCTCTCCAGTTCCCCTTCTACTTCTTGAATTGTTCCTTTTCATTCTCCCCACCTCTTCCTGTCTCATTAAAGCAGACTTTTTTTCCAAGCAGTTGCTACTGGCCCTCTTTCTTCACTCCATACATCGACCCCTGGGAAATTCCACCCACTTCCCTGGCTCAGGTCATGATGGCTGGCCTGAGCCAGGGGAGCTTCACCACTATGATTGTATTCTCTGGCTTTACCTTTAGCTTCAACTGCTTTGCCATCAGTTGCAAAAGCCTCAAAGACCAACTGTGACACCAATTACCTCAAAGACCTACTGTGAGTCATAATACAGAACTGACAGATAAAAAATCAACATCTGTCTTACCACATCTGTATCTCCCTGAATTTCCACTCTTCTTCTGCCTCCCAACCCCTTAATACAGAAACCTCTTTCTCTCCACCATTTGTTTTCCAAATACCTACTAAGTCCTTTTGCCTATACTTTCCTCCAATCTTTCTCATATACTTTGCTGTTTTACTTGGTAGATTATTTTTTGGCTCTGCAGGGAGCAGGGGTACAATCTGAGTGTTTAAGAGTGCAAGTCAAGGAGACAGAGATTATGACTTGTTTTAAGGAAGCACTTTCTAAATCAGGTGTTCACAGATGGGTTCAGGAATTCCCTGTCTCTAGACATGTTTAAACACAGTCTGGCTGATGATATAACAGAGGTTCAACAGCCAATGAATGGCTGGACTTGATGACATTTGATATCCCATGCAACACTGAGATTATATGGGTCATTTAATTACCGTTTTCTTTCAAGCCCTCATTGCTCACCGCTTCCTTGCAGTGCGAACAGTGTTTCAGCCCCCAATCTATGTCTGATGCTTTGGGAAGTCCTGGTTTTACTATGCTTCTCTTTGTGGCCTTATTTTCCCTCTGCAAATCCTCACACATGTATATGAAGATTCGCTCATTCATTTGCCCTACCTACTATAAGCGAGGCAGTGGAAATACAGAATTGGATGCCTTCATATACCTTCCAGGTGGAGTGCCTACATTAAAGACTACAGCACAGACCCAGCAATCTGAGTTTTAGTAAGCCCTCCAGGTGACTCTGCTGCTGGCTAAAGCCTGAGAACTACTGAAATAGGCTAAAGTGTGCATGGAGTTTTGGTAGAAGGTCATTATGTGACAAGGGACTCATCTCTGCTTGGTGAATCCAAATGCCATGGCAACTGTCTGATGAAAGAACTGCTAATAAGGATGTTTCTCAGGAAAATTTTTGGAAAGCACACCTTAGTTTCTTTAAATGCCCATTTTCATGTCTTATTTTGTCAAGCACACATGTACTTGATAAAACCCACTTAACTATATCAACTATTCTTCTATTTATCCTTCTGTGCTAAACAGAAGCAGAGTGAACTTGAGTGCTAAATCTCACAGAACTGAACTCTAAAGATTTTCAGACAAAGGTAGTGGTTTCCAAGTTGTTTAACTATCAGCTCAGCTTAGGGAGAACGGTTACATAAGAACAATTAAAAGTTTGGAATTAGATTGCCAATGATCACCATGGAATCAAATCAAAGGACATACTGAAATCTCCTCTTCATCCCCAACTTCTCAAAAACCAAGGAGAAACAAGCTTAGAAAGGCAACATAGTATAGTAAAGGCAGTCCTCATCCAGTAGGATTTTGGGGGAGGTGGGGTTAAAAAAAGAGGGTAGGAGGGCTTCTGAGTAAGGTAATATATCTGCATACTTTATTAACAAAATATTATTAACATAGGAGGACACTACCCTTGGTAGGATCAGAAGCCACCTGAGAGAGTTATTGTCTGCACTTGGGATTTCAAGTTATATATAGTGGAGGGAGTAATTTGCATGGGGGGGAAAAGTAACATTCAGACCAAAGATGCTTTCTAAACAGTGGAGCTTTCTGGGAATTTACATAATAGAATGGGGAACCCTCACCTCTCAAACCCAGCCTCAACAGACCTGCAGATAAATTCTGCCCCCCAAGTGTGGAGAAATCACAGTAAAGACTCTAAGAGGAAAATTTCCATCTTTGCTTACCGCTCCCCAACCCAGGCTAACTTGAAATCGCTATTTTTGGTGCAGCAACCAGCTCTCCAGGGACAAAGGCCCTTCCTCCCCAGCTTGTCTTTCTAGTCATTGTTGGAGCACATAGGACAAGATCTAAAACAAACCCCATCCCAACAGAGCATGCTACTAACCTGCTCATGAACTTGTACCGGCGGGGCAGGTAATAGATTTTTCTCCTGGAAGAACAGCAAAAATGAAGCCAGTCGAGAAGAAAACCCATCGTCAGTTACAGTTTGAACTAGCAAGGAAGGAAAGGAGATTGAAGATAGAAGCCTGTAAGAGGTGAAGAAGAAAAAACTAAAAAGAGATTAACAGTGAGAAATGTAGTGGGAACACAGGGCATGCATTTTTGATTCATGAAATCGTATGAAATAGTTCCTGTTGATATTGCTTCCTCTCCTTGTCACCATCATTTTTTACACTTGCTCTTTGCCTATAGAAACTGTTCAGAGCAATAATTTGGAGCAATTGGTATTTGTATGAATTCGGCTGAGGTCAGCTTTTTTTTTTTTTTTCAGGATACATAGATTGCCAGCCTGCTCACAACATACATAATTTAACAGGCACACTATTATATGAACAAATATTTCTACAGCACTTTAAGTTTAGAGAATGCTTCTGTCATCTGATATAGGCAAAGGTAATATAAATTATACATATTTTTACAACCAGTATGGGAAGGACACTAACAAATAAGTATCAACAGCCTGCTGCAAATAACCATACTAGCACATATTGTCTAACCCCTGGCCCTTGTATATTGTTAATTAAAGAGGTAAACCAAGGTCCCGGAAAAAATCTTTTTAAAAATCAGACTTATTAAGGGTCTGTTGTACTTCTATGTACCTGCATATAAAAAGTATTACAAATGCAAATTCTGAGTATAGTGTGAATGGAGAACACATGCATTAGATATTTTTAAAAATGCAACCTCTCTTTCCATGGTTTGGACTTCAACCAATGGGTACAAATGAATGAATAGTTTGCATGGATTCTGAACTAAGGTATTACAGAAAATGGGAAGTTTATACACCAAAACTTATTGTGCATATCTGTGAAAACTTAAACACATATCCCATGTTATAAAGAGGCAGATTATAGAGACAATAGAAAAATCAGTGGCTGCCAGGTGTCTGGGCTGGGGGGAGAAGGGATAGACTAAAGGGGATTTCGAGGGCTGTGAAACTATTCTGCATGATACCATAATAGGGGATACATGGCACTATGAATTGTCAAAACCCAAGGAACTGTACAAGACAAGAAGTGAACCCTAAACTTTGGACCACTAAAACAAACACCATCATGACAGAGCATGCTACTAACCTGCTGATGGTAACAACGTGCCAATATCGTCCATCAGTTGTAACAAATAAACCACACTAATGCAAGGTATCAATAGTAAGGAAGCTGTAAGCCCAGCCAGAGGAGGTCTATGGGAGCACTCTGTACCATCTATTCAATTTTCTGTAAGCCAAAAACTGCTCTAGAAACTGTCTATTTAAAAAACCTATATCCTTGGACATACAAGTATTTAGCAAGAGCAGGTTTTAGTGACCATTTCCCACAAGAAATCTATTCCTCAAGTTCCTTTTAAATATCATAGAAACAAAAATCCAAGGAGACTAAACCTGGGATTCAGAAGTACAGTCTATAGAAAATAATAAAGGTAAGATTCTTGGAGGCATTTCAATGTCCAAACTGATGTTTGAACACTGTTGAACTAATATGTCAGGACAATTCCTCTGTTGGAAATACATGCTAGATAAAAAGGTAACATACATTTTAAATGCACCAAGTTGTATCAAGTGAAGCTATGCTTAGGTAAAATCACATCAATATTAATAAGGCCAACTCATGGCCACTCATTAACAGTATTTCCTCCTAAACTGCTGTCCTGCAGGAATTCCCATCATGTAAAATGATTATTCACAGTTGTTATGGCTTTCATTTTATTGCCTGGATTGCATTCTTTGAATACTGCATAAGAGAAGCATTCATGTTGCTTGCAGGCAGCACTTTTCTGCTATTATGTAATGAACGCACAGAGGTGTTATCTATGACACAGCCAGGCCCTTCAGAGATGAAATGCTTCCAGATACTCAGGGAACTTGCTATGCATCACATCAAGTTTTCATAATCTTCTTGAGTTCTTAGCTTGAGAAGTGTGTTCTGGCAGAAGGTTTTATGAGATTGCTACTGGGGAAGGGGCTGGAGGGCAGGGGCGTGTCAATTTCCATAGGTTTTACTAACTTATTATTATCAAAGTAGACTTTTTAAGCTCTGTTGGCTTTAAGCTGTTGGCCTGATCTATGACTCTATCTAAGCATAGATTTATTTTCCCTTTGGTCCTTATGTATGACATAGCATTAATTCACATTGATAAATTACTGATTGTGCAAACAACTGTTGATGGAAACAAAATTGGTATTCCTTCTCTCTCACTGATTACATATATTACATAATTTACATATATATGTATATACATACATAAAATTTAAAAAATCCTTGGGTTCCAAGATTTTCTTTGTAACATTTTAAATACAAAAATAAGTGAAAAATTTAGAACTACCTTAGTCTCAATTCCTTTGAGAATTCTGCCTTAAGGAAAATACATGGTAGAAATCTCAGCCTCTATTTTGAATTTGTATTAGGACACAAAGACTAATAAACAAAGAAAATAAGATACACCAGGGAGATATATTACAGGCTTATGAATTGAAATTGCCCTTCCCTAAATGTGTTCCTAGCATCTCTTCGTTTCTAAGAATGTAGATGGTTCTTTGTCTCAATAACTTTCCACAGCTCATTAAGAGCTATACTTTAGAATTGGCCGTTTGCCTAATTTCTGCTCTCTGACCGGGTCGTATTGGCAAATGGTGAACCAAAAGTAGAAAGTACTTAATTCTTTTGTCCCTTAAGAACTGTCCTTGGTACTATGCCCCTCCACCTCCTTTAAGAGATTCTATTATTTCTACATATCTTGGCATTCATAATTTAAGATTTAATACTTAATTTCATTTATATCTAGCAAACAATCACTTTTTCTTAATCTATAGGGAATATAAGAATATTCACTCTGAGATGGAGGAAAATTAATCCTTTAAAATAACTAAGAAATTCACACTAAGTACTTTATATTCCCCTAGGAATAAATATCAATGGTTGTGGTTTGCACAGTATTTATGACTTGACTCTTAAAATGCAAAAATAGTTATTTTTAAAAATAAGGTCACATTTTCCTGAAATTTCTTGAACTTGCTGCAATGGAAGTAGACTTTAATTTTTTTTCTGGAAGGGACCAGTCAGTAAGGACTTGTACCACTGATCCTGACATCTGGCCATTCAAAGAAGCAGGGTTTTTAAACAATGGCACTTTGGAAATGAAAATGCCACTTGGAAAGTATTTCTTTTTCAACAGTCTATCCTTCTAAGGACTGCATTAGCCAGGCATTTTCACAAAAAGTCATGAAGTCATTATTAGCCATGAAGTTACTTATTGCATTTCCTAGACATTTAAAGGACATTTTCTTCTAACAGTGTTCCAGTCTGCATTTCGGTTTTATTTGTTTTGATAGAGGAGTGCACTGCAGCAGAGAGAGTGGGGGAGAAATACTTTTACACCTACCTGAAAGGCATTCTTACATTCATTTGTTCTGCGTATCTTCCAAGCACTTCCCATGGGGCATGCAACTTCACAAAGATAATGTCACTATTTATCAGAGAGGACTGAAACAGAAAAAAGACACTAAATTGAAAAGTATATCCACGTCTCCTATGGTTCCAATTGAAGTGGAACTTAGAGCACATGAACTTGTACACAGTTTAAGATCGGAGGTCATTTTTCAGCAATAAGCTGGGTCCTATTGTGTGCACATATGCATTCAATCAATACGTCACTGTGTGTCAGGCTCTGGAGAACCAGCAGGGAAGAAAAGAGATACGGATGGCTTTTACATTCTGCAAATACACACATACAAAAGAAGACAGGCCAAAACAAGTTAACAAGAGACAGAGATTCAGAGTTAAGTGTTCTGAAGACAACAGAGTCTTGGGAGAAAAAGTTGGAGTGGGATACCCATTTCCTTGGACAAAGGGTCAAAAAAAAAGTCCTCTCTGAGGAGTGGACTTGTGGGTTGAGATATAAAGAAGGAGCCAGGTGGGTAAAAAGCTGAATGTTCTGGGTGCAAAGCCCCTAGACTGGGAAACAGCTTAGTATGTCCTATAGTGGAGGGGCAAGGAGGAGGGTGGAGGGGCTAGGGTGGATTAATCACAGAGACTTTCATGAGAAGAGGCTGGAAAGGTGAGCAGGAGCCAGTGTGCAGTGCTTCACAGGCCACAACAACACAGTTAAACCTTATGCTAGGTACACGGGGAAGTCACTTTGATTTAGGTGTTCAAAGACCACTGTGGCTGCTGCATGGAAGCTAAAGAATAAGGGAGAGGCACAGTGAAACAGAGAAAGCGATGCTCTCAATCATTCAGGCAAAAGCAATAGTTGGTGGTGGGGGGGAATAAAGGGAACTCAGAGATGTGTCTTAAATCTGGCCAGCATCAGCAAGGCTTTTCCAAAGGACCGTGCTCTTTGGCCCCAAACCTTTGCCTTCTTTGGGGCTTTTTATCAAAACAGAACTTAGGGCTGTAAAACTAGGACTTCACACTCCGTTAACTACCCAACAGGTTTTGGTCTGTGCCTCTGGCAGCAGGGACACCCCTTATTAGATTTCCTTTGGAAGTCATTTCCCAGGGTGAAGGCTGAGTTGTGGAAGGATGTGGAAGAAAAATGAGAAACAGTTAAGCCAGAGCGGTTTAAATGAGCCAAATGGCCAATTATTTATCCTTATCTGTTTCACACAGGGTCATCCTGAACTGCATACCATTTAAGTGTTTACAGTTTAAGAAAATCAATTTAAAATTTCATAGTTTAAGATGTATTAGGCCTTTGTGGCTGAACTCTCCTTATAACAGAATCTATACACAAGTCAATATTTTTACACACCTGACAAAAAACCCTCAACTTCATGCTTTAGCAGGGGTACATTTGCACTGTAGGCAATTGTTTTTACATTGCAGTTGAAAGGCAACTGTAATTCGTTTTCATATTTTCATTCAGGGTCATCTTGCTGGGCTTATAAATATTGTATTTAAGGCCTAAGAACACCTCAAGATATTATGGAAAAGCAAACTGGTATCAACGACAACATTCTCAGAAAATTTGGTGATGCTGACTTTCCCATGGGGAGGAGGGCCAGGATCCAGGTGTACAATGGTGCAGGGGAACCCCTGATACTGGTTAGAAAAAAAAAATCAAGTTTTCTGGCAGTTCAGGCTGAAATAAGGTTTTATCTTTCAACGTAGGACAAGCAGACACCTATCTTTAAGCCCCCTGAGAACAAGGAAAGCTTCTGTTATTGGTTGAATCCTTTGGCCCCAGAACAGTTCCTGCAATAGAGGGAGCACTCAACCAATATTTGCCTGGTGGTGGTTTATTTGCTGCTGTCGTATCCAATTCTCTGCGATCCCATGGACTGTAGCCTACCAGGCTCCTCTGTCCCTGGGATTCTCTAGGCAAGAGTACTGGAGTGGGTTGCCATTTCCTTCTCCAGGGATCTCCCCAACCCAGGGATTGAACCTGGGTCTCCTGCATTGCAGGCAGATTCTTGACCAACTGAGCCACCAGCGAAGCCCTGGTGAAATGTGAACAGTTAGTCCCGGCCCAGGTCAAAACTGGGAGCCCTATGCAGCAGGAAGTGATGAAGATGAGGTGGCTCTTGGAGCCCACGTAGCTGTTGTTTGCAAACGAGGTACTCACCCAGGGGACACACACACCAGCAACCACTTAAATGCTGTGTCTCTTCACAAACACCTTACTGTTTAGTGACCTACGGCGTCCCTGCATGGAGTGTGCACAGCCATGTAGCCAGGTGGCGAGGGAATGAGCTCATGGGCGCAATGTCTGGGTAAGAACGCGTAGAAACACAGCTCGCACACACTCTCTGAGGTCGTCTCAAAGATAATCAGTTGAACCTCCTTGTGCTTTGGAAAAGAATGCCACTTGTTCTCCTACATGTAATAGTTTTCCAAGTTAAAAAGCAGAAGACATACTTTATTTCCTAAAAATGGGCCTTTTTGTTTATATTAAGATACACTTCAGTATCTAAAGTGGTCCTGCTGGTCCAGTGGCTCTGCACTCTTAACACAGGGGGCCCAGGTTCGACCCCTGGTCAGGCAAGCAGAGCCCACAGGCTGCAACTAAAGATCATGCTTGCCACAACTGAGACCCGGCACAGCCAAATACAATTTTAAAAAAAGGAAAAAAGAAAGATACGCTTTAGAGTCTGGGAAGGTTTTGCAGCTTCCTCACTTGGGAGGTTTCATGGTGATACTAGGAATTCTTTAAATTCGCCTAGTTTTCTGACAAGGTCCTTACTACCTCTCCCATTTCTCATGAGAGGAAGAGTAAAATCGTGCAAAATAAAGAGGACAAAATGGCCATGGGACTGATTCACAGAATCAGCCAAACCTTGATTTAGAGCATGAAATTTTAGAATATGCTCTCCTCACAGAATTACTGTGATTGCTAGTTTTGCAGAAAATATACAATCTACCTCAAGAATAATCACTTTGTAGACCTCCCATGAATATATGAACACACTGGGGAGGATAAAATACTATATCCCACTCAGGGCATGTTCTAAGTGCCATACTTCTGTATGTGAAAAGGCCAAGTTCATTACCTGAACACATACTGAGTCAACTAAAATTCTAATGTGGGATTTCAACCATTTTCTGCATAAATGAGCAACTGCTTTGAGTCACTCAGTATGATTAAAAAAAGAAACCCCATTTTCTTATTATTTCAATTATAACAATGATTATAAAGCCTGTTATATTTATTTTATATCATCACTTTATTATACTTAGTGCTGTATAATTTTAGAAGCACTTTTACACATTACCTCATTTTATTCTCAAACTTGTAAGAGAGGCTTTAATTTCTTAAAAAAGGAAAGAGACTAAGTAATTCACCCACAGCTAAACTGAGAGTCAGTCCCGACCCACATCCCTTGACTTTATCCATTTTAACTGATAAACTCTGAGGTTTAAATAAATCCATGGCTTTGACAAGCATCGAAGACACACAATCTCTGAATTCTTTATCAGTTTACACAAAGAGGGGAAATTAAGCTATACTTAAGATTATTTTGATAATCTTGAGAAAAATGTTAACTGAATTCCCTTGAATGATGACGGGTGTCTATTCATGTGTTATGTGTGTGGAGGGTCTGCATGAGTGCATGCCTGCATCTATGTGTGTATGGGGCTTATTATTTTCTGTTTTTAAGGAGAAACTGAACTTCAGCTCAGAAGAATAAATGTGAAACATGACTGCTAATTATATGGCTCATCCATCACTCTTTTTCTCGAGTACTGAATGATTATACTACTGAGTCTAAATAGGTTTTCCTTCTTATTAAGTATTCCTTTCCACATAAATCCAAGTATGCAAGTACCAAAATGAAGAGAAATGAAAATGATTTTTTGAAACAGAGTTGTTTCATTCATATACTACAATAAAAACCCCTTAGGTTAGAACCTTGGGGAGAAGAAAAATGACCTTTTAGAGGAGTTTGGAAAATCTCCTTAGAAAAATGACTGGAGAAATTTAAAAGTACTATGGAAAACATCTGGAACAGAAAAAGGTAAGATCCACAGAAGACTTTCCTTCTTTCTTGTTCATTTAACAAGAACATATTGAACATGATCTATGTATAGATGCCGGGAATGCAAAGATATATAAATTTTGGTCCTTGTCTTGAAGGTTAGGTAAGGTAACCATAAGGAAAAAAATAAATAGCATGCCATTATCTAACCCAAGCAATCCACCTTTTAAAAATGCGTGAATGTATACACATCTCTTCATCTCATGACCCCCAAAACAATGGCTGAAAAGAGGACGCTGATGGAGAAAAGGTTTAGGAGTGGGGACATGGAGGTAAGTCACAAACTTACTTTAGGACATATTAAGTTCTTAACACCCATGAAAAGACATCTTGTGGGTGGATAAATGAGTCCAGACCAGTCTGTGTCTGGAGCCTGGGGGAGCAGTCTGAGTCAGAGATACAAAATAAATATGGCCAGGAGAGAGACAATGTTTAAATCCATGGGATGGGATAAGGTCGATTTGGAAGAGAGTGTAGGCACGGAGCCACGTGGATAGCTGCGGCACAGAGGTTAGACAGGAATCAGACTCTGAGGCTCCACCGCACATATTCACACATCTACCTCTCACCAGCTCTGTGACCCTGGCCAGGCTGCTGAATCTCTCCGTGCCTCAGTCTGTTCAACTGTAAAATGGGAAATGATAGCACCAGCTATCAGTTGAGTTGTATTAAATGGCATAAAATAGGTGAGGTACTCCTAGTACCTCCGAAAACATCTTAGCAATATCTCCAAGAAGGGCCATAGCACACTGGTGGTGGGGGAAGAACACAGCTACTGGTTACCTAGTGACAAGCTGAGATGGTGGCAAATAAGAAACCACTACCTGAAAAGGATTTCCAGTCTTTGACCACAAGTCTAAACCAGAAGAAATTCTGAAAGTCAAGTTCCCAATGCCCATCTCCTTTCCCTCCACCATCTCTANGGTGAACTCCGGGAGTTGGTGATGGACAGGGAGGCCTGGTGTGCTGCAGTCCATGGGGTTGCAAAGAGTTGGACACGACTGA